CTGTGCTGATCCAAAGCCAGGAGCCAGAAGCTTCTTCCGGGTCCTGCCCCAATGCAGGTGCAGGGGCCCAAGGATTTGGGCCATCTGCTGCTGCTTTCCCAGGCCATAGCAGAGAGCTGAATCAGAAGTGGAGCAGCCGGGTCTCAAGCCGGCGCCCATATAGGATGCTGGCACTGCAGGCCAGGGCTTAAACCTGCTGCGCTACAGCGCCGGCCCCTGATGTTCGTTTTTAAATGTAGAATGAGGAGACAATCTTGAAAATTTAGGTGCGTGCCCTTTTTATGGAAGGAGATTTCAAACACATAACGAACGAGTGTGCACAGTAGGGGATGCACGCCCAGCTTCCACACCTTGCAACTCTGGGCAGTTTTATGGTTTCCTCACCCTCTCCCACACTCCCCTTCTCATTACTGTAAAGCAAAGATGTGTTTGTTTTCTTCTTTTTATTTTTTTTTTTTACCTTTTCAAGTACAGTATGTAGAAGTATTCTTAACATTCTTCAAAGAATCTAATCCTCAGTACTGAAAAAGGTAGGTTGGTAGTGTAGACAAAGGACTGTAGTGTGTACTCGTTATTCTGACAGGAACTGGCAGGTAAGCAAGCAACTTTATTTCTCAAGATTTCATATGATGGTGACCATTCCATTGCAAAAGAGTGATCACATTCCAGAGTTGTAACAAGTTCTGGAGGCTTAGTTTTGCAATTGTCCACTCTCATCCTCCACAGGGATGTGACCTCGAAGAAAAGTAAGGAGTCCGAAGCCTGACAGAGCACTTTGGAGCCTTTCCAATTTTTGTGTTCTGTCCTACAATAGTCCTCAAACGTTTTGACCTCTAGCTGGGCAACGTAGGCTGCCACTGAGATTTCTGGGATACTGTGAAGCTATAGCAAGCCCTGCTTTGGGGCTAGGACATGCAACTTGGAAGTCAGGATCCGCTTAAAAGAAAATCATTTTAAAAACACAGTAAATCAGAACCACTTTTACTGATTTTCATTAATCTTTTTGGGTTTTCATAATTTTGTGACTCTGACTCTCGTAGTTACAAATATAAATAATTTAAAACCCTATGAATGTTTAATTCTGTCAAATATTTTATTTATGTAGAATTTTTTTCCTTTAAGTTGTGTGGAGTTTTTGAATTTTTAACCATGTATTACCCACTATGATAATTGAATATACAGCAGTTTTTCCTGTTGCAACTATTTTTTTAAGCAATTTATTTATTTATTTGAAAGAGAGAGAAAAGGAGAGAAATAGAGATCTTCTAGAGAGAGAGAAAGAGAGGTCTTCCATCTGATAGTTTACTCCCCAAATGGCTTCAATGGCCAGAGCTGACGCAGGCCAAAGCCAGGGCTCGGAACTCCATCCGGATCTCCCATGTGGATTACAGAGGCTCAGGTATTTGGGCTTGGACCATCTTCTGCTGCTTTTCCAGGTGAATTATCAGGGAGTTGGATCCAGGACGCGAACTGGAAGTCATATGGGATTTGGGCATTATAGGTGGAGACTTAACCTGCTGCGCCACAACAGTGGCCTCTGTCTCAGCTGTTTCAGTTTGTTTTAATACAGTCTTGAAATTTTTTCCAAAATGAAATTAATGCAAAGGGACTTCTGTTTTAAAAATTCCTAAGCCATCTTTGTGTGAATGCAAGGAGATTGCCTTCTCTCCACATAGAAGGGTTGTGAGTTGGGGGTAACAGAGATTGAGGAGATGAAACTTGTGTGATAAAATCACTGTGACTCCAGACCTGCTGTAGATTACCAGTACTGGTCTGTCACCAGCATCACCATTCCAGCAGACTCCCCTAGTGCAAACCTAGAAATACACTTATTTTCCTTGTTCATTCCCTGCATCCAATAAATAGGTCCTTATTGATTATTTATTTAGAAAAATCTTTTGGCTTTATCTTCCCATTCTCATGTCCAGCATGTCAGTTCTGATCTTTATCAACATATATCTGAACTAATTAGCAGTCGAGAAGAAATGGACTGATGGATTTTGGCTTTGCCATTTTATGTGTATTTATCCTTACAGCAGTCCTGGCAGGTGAAACAGTTATCCACATTTTTCAGATTGTGAAACCTGGGCAAGCTCTTGCAAATACTGGAAGAGCTTCTTGCTCTGAATCTTCCTTTCTCTGAGGTGCACTCTATTCAAGAATACCTAGATAATCTTCCTAAAATGTAGCTTTTAATAACTTCCCTTATAAAATCTATAGTTACTGGCATGTTACCAGGGATTTTCATGTTTTATCTCATTCTAACAAATTACTCCTTGAGATCCATATTGTTTCATATTACTTCCTTGTGAAATGACCTGTAAAGATGTCTGTTTCCCATTGAACCAGTTGAAAGTTCTTAATTTCGATAGCATTCCACATTTTATGCTTTGGCTCTGTTATATCTGTTTAGTCACCTCTCCCAAGGTAAACAGGAATTATCTTTAGCAAGGTCAACTTCCTTATGATCCTCTTTAGGTACCATTTTTATTTCTTTGCTAATGCCTGCTCAAAACACATTTCTTGTCCACCTAACCCAATTCCCCCCAACCCCACCTTCTCTCCTCATTTAAACTCTACCAGTGCTGCAAGGCCCATTCCAAGTTCTGCATTTTCCAAGAAGCCTTCTCCATCGTTTCTGTCTTATTTTTCTTGATTTCCTTTGCCACATATATTTGCCCCTAAGAGTATATTGTTAATTTATTTTTTCCTAATGCTGAAAATAATATATGCTTGTTGTGCAAGTATTAGATAGGATATTTGAAAGTGAAAAAGATAACTCCTCTGGCTTCTCACTTCTACCCATGGAAATTCACAGAAATCTGTGCATATTTTTTTCATAGTACACATTTTCCATTAACTTTCTCAAGACACCACTCCCCTTTCCATGCATGAATTTCAGAATTTTTTTTACTTAAAAATGGACTTATTTTAGGCTCCATTTTTTCCTCTAGCTCTTTGAAATACCGTTGTGTTTGTGTGTGTACCTACTCACGTGTATATATTATGGTCCCACATAAAGTATACTTTATATAAATGAGTGCATGTGTGTATTTATATTATATAAATGTTATAAATTTATTTAATAAGTTGTTTATATTCTTATATGTGTTTCCTGCACACATAAAATGATCTGGAAACACCAGACTACTAACTGAGGACATTCAGGAAGTTGTACTTTTGACTTTGTGTCACTGTAGTTAAATATTTTTGAAAAGATTAATTAATTTGAAAGACAAAGTGAAGAGAGATGGAGAGAAAAAGAGACATCTTCCATCTGCTAGTAAGCTCTCCAGATTCTCCCCAATGGCCAGAGAAAGGCCAGTTCAGAGCCAGGAACTCCGTTTGGGTCAGGTCTTCTGGAGGGTGGGGGTAGAGACCCAAGTACTTGAGACGTCATCTGCTGCCTGGTAAGGTATGCAGTAGCAGTAAGGGGGGTCAGAAGCAGAGGACACAAAATAGACTCTCCAATATGGGATGCAGGTGTCCCAAGCGGCAGTTTAACACACTGCACCACAATGCCCACCCCTAGTTAAATATTTTAAATAGTCCTTAGTATTTATATGTTTAAGATCATATTTAAAATGACTTCTCACTCTGCCTGTAGATATAAAAGTGCTCGTTCTGCAATGCTCTGAATCACTTGGCACGGTACTTTTTTTTTTTTTTAAGCTTACCTTGCTACTTTGCTAGACTGCAGGCTCTCAAAAGGAATAAGACAGTGTCATGTTTATGTTTATATTTCTCAAACCTAGTAAATCTGGTGTAGGACAGGGTCTGTAAATGCTAATGAAAAGTGAATGAGTAAACAAACGTACCTTTTAAAGAACAAAAAGCATCCTCCACATTTCTTGAGAGGCTCTTGATATACTTTTGAATGTTATTTTCTACCTGGCACAGCAGTGGGCAAAAAATTGGCACAGTAAATACAGGTTGATTTGAAGTTAACCAACACTTTGTGGAACTGTAGGCCAATGTGGAATCTACCATGCACTGACCCTCTTGATCCCATGCAGCAGAGAAATGAAAACCAAGAAGTGAATACCTAACTGATTAAAGCCAAGGGAGGCTTGCGGACTTCAGAGACATAAAAACTCTTTGGGCGTTAAGATTTGACTATACCCTAAGTAAAGACATTGACATCTTATGCAGACACACAGAAGAGCATGTCTCTGTGTCCAAAACAGAGAAAAAAAAATCCATTAATGTACCTGTTACGGTACCTAACAAAGGACTGTTAGACTCGCAGCACCTGCTGAGTTGAGGCGTGCATCCAAGTGGCCTGGCAGGTGTATAACCCAAGTGTGTTTAGAGAGCTGCAGAGCCTCATGCCCTGTTGCACTGAAATCCTGCATAAATAATTCCACTTGCTCTGCTTGCATTCGCACCACGCTTCCCTCTGATAATTCTCCTTCCCAAGAAACCAGTTCACCATCAGGCTGAAAGTGGCATGCCTGATTCTTCAGTTGTTCACTATAAATTAATAAAGTCTCCTGCTTCTTTTTAATACATTGGTGTGTTGTGAGTTTTGTTAGTATGAGTCTGCATTCCTGATTCCAGTCAATGAAATCAGATAGCAAAGCCTGCAAGGCTCATCCAGGTGAACACTACTGTGTGGGCTGAATTTCCCAGGTGACGTCCATCCACATTGTCGTGTACTGTGTTTCCTTTCCATTCCACACTTCAGAATACTTCCTCCCGATTGTAGTACTTAGTTCAGAACTTCTTAATGACGTGCACATTGTAGTTGGAGAGTACTAAATAATATTATCCGGATGACAGTAGACCCTTTTCTTCTGGGTGAGTATTCTTTGTCAGGTTGTGCAAATTCCACACCTGTATGAATGATTGGAATATGTGTTGTAGATGCCACATCTTGAGGACCGCCAGCAACTCCTTTCCAGTTCTTGCTTCCCAGCGTCTTCTGGTTCTCATCTCACTGTCAGCATTGATCCTGGCCTGATACCCAAGTCACTTCCTAACCCAGATCTCTCTTGCAGCGGTGAAACCTAAAGAAGATGGAAGACACAATGAGTTCGACCAGATTAAGGATAAGGATGCAAGTAGAGCAGGCAATGAACGAGGTTATAGAATTTTTTTCTTCCCTTCTCATCTGTCTCTCTCTCTTCAAGACAATTGCAATAACGTTGCAAGGGTTTCAAGTCCCATGAACTCTTATGAAAAAAATAAAACACAAGTTCTCTGTGCTTAACCATGAATGTAATGGAACTCAAACCAAGTTTCAATAAATCATTAACAGCAATTTCTTGCCAAAAAGGATATCAATGTAGATAACAGGGAAAAACCCATTACAACTCTCAGTGAATCACAGAGTTTTTTTTTTTTTTTTAATGGAGTAGTGTATCAAGTGCATTATTAGCTGCCACTTTACTACATAGCAGTTTTTCCTTTCTCCCCGTCTCCCCGATTCACAGCCAGAATATCTACTCGATCACTAAATTTCACCATCAGTTTATCAGGAGTTTACCCAGAGCCATTCCCAATTATCACTGATTTAAAATAGTGTATTTTTTCACAGATTACTAAGACTTCACAAAAGTTTCAGATAAGATAGTAAATATTAAATCTTGAACTGACTTATTTTTTATAAGCTAGGTTCTTAAAAACTTGTTTAATCACGCTAACCATAATTTTGCTTATGTAATTGCAATTCTGCAGCAAAATCAGACACCAGGATTAATACCTATAGGGTACTTCAAAAAAGTTTATGGAGAAATGAAATTAAAAGGTAAATGTTTTTTAGTGCAAGCAATTTTGAAATGCATGCAGTTTTTTCATAATACACCTTTTCCATGAACTTTTTGAGGCATCTTGTATAATACATCCATGAGACTTCTATCTCCACACAATATAATCGATATGTTCTTGTGTATTAATGTTTAATGATATGGGGCTGAAGTACAGAGTATTAAAGACTATTTATTTTAGATACTGACTAACCAGTAAATGAATTCTCTAGGCTCTTTGACCAAATTCCCCATCCTTGGGCTTTCTTTTTCTACTGGGTGAAAAATGATGCTAGTATTAGGAGGCTCCTGTTTCATCCCCATCGTCTTGAATGTGAGAGCAGGAGTTATACGACAGACTATCCAGTAGTAGAAGTGATGCTCAGAAGTATCAGAACGCCCAAACCTGCCACCACTTCTGTGAATGTCCTGCCTTAGGTTAGTGATGGCATCTTATGATACAAAGGTTCACATATTTTAAAACAAGCCAGGCAGTATAATTTGTTAAGGAATTAAAATTTAAGAAGAAAATTCATATTCCCTTCCTTCAATAAATGCTTGATGGACAGAAGATGGACATGGTCAACATTTATAATTTTTGAAAAAATTAGGACTCTCAAAACTACCTATATTTTTCAGAAGTTACATTCTCTCTCAATTTACCAAAGAGCATGATATATTGTTGATGTTCCTGCATATAGGAAAACACATAAACTATACCATAAATAAAGACAAAGGAGTAGAGTGGGCCAGAGAAAGGTAGTGATCTGAGAAGTGATGAGTATTAGACCCACACTGATCCCTGCCCCTCTCCTCTTGGCTCAGGCCACTGCCTTCCTTTTTCTTTGTCTCTTTCCTCCTGTTTTAGGTCAGGGTATAGACAAGAATTCACTAGACTGAACCAAAAAGACAACTAACTGTGGAACAGAAATGTCTTAAAATTGTGCAACATCAGGGCAAGCTGAAGTTTGCAGTTTTCAAAGTTATACAACCTTGCATACGCCGACTGCACAAAGACCAAGTGGGAGAGTAGGCAAAGATTACTTTTCTCTCCTTGTTTGCTTCTCTCAGTTCCTTTTCTGGAATCACCTGTTTTCCTTCAGTCCTCCTGCAGCCCTCTGCTCTCCATTTCTTGTCCCATTTTGGTAAAAGAGCATAAAGGCTTCATGTTATGTAAATATCTGTCTCTCTGTGTGTGAATGTATGCTCTATTTTGTTTTCATTTCTAATGACTTCAGGGTATCCCTTTTAAGTCAGATATACTCCCAACAGTAATACTAATTAAATTTTTAGAATTTCTGACTCTGAACAGTCTGAAAATTACTGTCAAAAACATACACAATTTCATGGTATTCATGGACCCTTACTACCTTTTTTATGGATCTCACCTGGCTTCAGATCCTTGCCCCGTGATGGAATTCCAAAGTTATATATTTGAAAACATACTCATTCACTAGGTACCCATTGAATGCCAGTGTGAGTCCAGAACTGTGCAGGTCTTTGAGATACACACACACACAAAAGACTGGTTCATCCATAAAAATTTGCAGTGTTAATTGAGGAGACTGACAAGTAAGTAAGCAATTATAGTGTAGAATAGATCCAGCAGTAGAGGCAGTACAGAATACTTTGGAGAGCATGTCAGATGAGTGTTTAATTAACCTTTGAGCATCAGAAGATTGTCTTTACAGTGATATCTGAGTTGTACACCTACATTGAAGAAATGCTATGTATGAAGTTAAGATAGTTATAAACTTGGCTGATGCCGTGGCTCAATTGGCTAATCCTCCACCTGTGGCGCCGGCACCTCAGGTTCTAGTCCCGGTTGCTCCTCTTCCAGTCCAGCTCTCTGCTGTGGCCCAGGAAGGCAGTGGAGGATGGCCCAAGTGCTTGGGCCCTGCACCCACATGGGAGACCAGGAGGAAGCACCTGGCTCCTGGCTTCAGATTGGCGCAGTGTGCCGGGCGTGGTGGCCATATAGGGAGTGAACCAATGGAAGGAAGACCTTTCTCTCTCTTTCTCTCTCTCTCTCTCTGTCTCTGTCTCTCTGACTCACTCACTAACTCTGCCTGTCCAAAAAAAAAAAAAAAGATAGTTATAAACTTGTATGTCATGTTGAGAAATTTGTATTTAATTCTTTTTAAAGATTTATTTTGTATTTGAAAGAGTGATAGAGAGACAGAGATCAAGAGAGAATGGATCTTCCACTCAGTGGTTCATTCTCCAAATGGCCATAACAACTTAGACTGGGTCAGTCTGAAGGTAGGAGCGTGGAACTCCATCCGGGTCTCCCGCATGGGTGCTGGGGCCTGTGTTGCCACTCTTTCACAGGCACATTAGCAGGAAGCTGGCTCTGATACAGGATGCCAGCTTTGCAGGTGGCAGCTTAACCCATTGCACGTCAAAACCAGCCCTGGATTTGATTTTTAAAGGGCCTTTAGTTGAGGGGTGATAAGAACTGATCTGTAATGGAGAATGGCTTGGAGGAAGCGGGACTTAGTGGCTGGGAGACTGTGATAGGAAACCAGGTAAGCAATAGTAGTGATTTTTCACTGACGTACTGAAGGTACAGATGTAAAGAAGTTGATAAGTTGAAAAGATATGAAGTGGAAACCACAGAATTTAGTGATAAATTAAATACATTTCTTTAACAAATATTAGTTGAGCTGCTGCATGTTAGGTATTCTGTTAGATACAATGATGAACCAAAAAACCCATCTCTGCCCTCAAACCTAGTGGCAGTGACCTCCAGGCTTCTGGAGCAGACAGCTCCATGGATGATGGTACAGTTTACCAGACAGATGAACCAGACCACAGATCCCTGGTCAGGAGAAATGCTTCTTGAAGCTTCGGTGCCCCTTTTCAGATTTCCAGAAGTCCCTGTGGTTGAGAAGGGTAGCGAGGGGTGTTACTGATGAGAATGTATCCTGTATGAACACTGTTTGGGGGAGAAGTGGAGAAGTTTGAGATGCAGATGACACGTGAAGCCAGGAGGTTGATATAACCTGGGAAATGTATAAAGAATGAGAGGAGAGGACTTGAGGATTGCACCTAGCAAAACCATGAAGAGAGAGGAGAAATTGATGGGGAGACCAAGGTAGTGCGAAGAATGTAAAGCGCGTTCTGAGGTGGAGCTAGTGGAACGTCTGGGAAGCAAAGCAGTGTGGCAGCAAGAGCCAGTGCGGGATAGATTGGACAGGTTTCTGATTTAAGGTCATGACCTGAGCTCACAGAGTGAACTTCACCCATTCTCCTCCATCGCTCTACTCTGCCTCAGTTCTACTCCTCGAATGTGCCTAAATGAATTTAATAGGAGAACGCTTTTATCACTGCAAACAGCTACAAGATGGTACGATGCAAACAAAACTTGGTTCTAAGAAGACCCTGTTAGCTAGGGGCTCATCCCGTGCTAAAGGGGATGCTGTCTAGGAGATACGTATAGAGGCCATTGGCCAGTGCTCATTCATGCCCCTCGGCTTCTAACAGCCACAGCTGGAGACCTGAACTGTGGTGTGGTTGTAGGAGAGGAGGGAGCATATTTTAAAGGTTTTGGAATCTCTGGCAGTCCCACAGGTTCTGGAGGCCAGGTTTCTTGAAAGGGCAATAAAAGGATCATCTTTGACATTGGTAGACTTGCAGAACATCCCACGCATGTGTACTTCCCCTGAGAGAGAAACGTAGGAAGGCATACTAGAGCCAGAATAATAACTAGACAATGTCCAGTAAAAAGGATATGTTTAAGTGGCACAGAATTGTGAATAGCAGTTTTTAACATAGTGGTGAACCACAATGCTAATGACAGATGATTCCTCAAAAAAGAATAATGTAACACACTAATAGCAGGCATCTGTAGTTACAGAATGCTAGTCAATTTAGCAGGCAGGAGGAAGGCAAAGGGATGCGCAGACTCCAAAAATGCTGCTGCTTTATTGACGTAAATTTAGGATGAAGAAAAGTCCAGCTATAATATAATCCAAAGGCACATGTTTAGAAAGATATATTAATGGAAAGAAATCAACAAAGGAAAAAGTTGGGATGCTACTGTTACTTTAGAATTTGAGGCAAAAAGCACCATAGTGTGCGATTTATTATCATTTCACTGTTAAAAATCTGGTGGTGAACACTGACACAATGGTGAGCATAAAACTTTTTTTTTATCAAAAGACATTGTTTTTATTAAAAGGCAACTGGAAAAACAAAAGGATGTAGAGTACTGGATAAGTTTAATTTAATATATACATTGTGTCCTATAGAAAGTATATGACTACAAAGTCAGATACTTATAAGATTTACACTAGACCATAAAGAGCATTTTAAGGGATATTAAAACATTGGAA